GATGTTTTGGAATCCCACCTGGGCTAAAAGGGCACTCTGCTTGCACAACAGGATCAGGATAAATGATGTGTCAGCTCTCCCAGCTGACTTGAAGCAAGAACAGTTTATGGTGTTCAGAGCTGGTATAATAGACAGCAAGGCGTGCGCTCAAGCAGGACAGGAAGCTGGGATCGGAGACAGGGGCAAGGTCATAGGAATAGCCAAGGTCATCAACGGGTGGGCAACGAGATACCAAATCATAAGCAAGCTGAAGTCAGGAACAGAGCCGGGATCAGGAACGAGCAGCAAGGCAGGAACGGAATGCAAACTCAGGTCAGGAACAAGCCGGGTCAGCAACAAGGGGATCATACAAGAATACAGCAGGACACGGGGAACAGCTGAAGACCAGTCAGGACTAAGCGCAGGCAGAAGCATCCTTTAAATAGTCCATCTGGCACCAATATTTGCTGTGCATGTGCTTGTGCACATACGCACATCTGCAGAGATTGCTGTGCGTATGCACATTTCTATTAGCCAGCCGTCTCTCAGGAATTCCCTTACACTTATTCTCTCTGCTGTTTGGAGAGCTCTAGTTCTGACTTGTCAGGGGGAGCGTCGCACCACAGCATTCACGCAAAGACCAAAGGTCCTTCTATAACAACATGCTGGCAGGTGATAGGCTTTTTTATTTAGGCTGTGGCTTCTTTCTAAAGGAAACAAACGGAAAGGCTTTGCACATCTGTTGTTTTGATGCACCTGAAATGCATTAAGCTGGAAGTTTAGTTGAGCCATAACATCTTTAGTAGTAGATTTGGGGTCTCAGCTTCTTCTTTGTAGGCCTCTACTGTCTCCTGAGCTCCCTGTCATGTCTGTGATCCTGTCTCTACTAAGATGAAAGATGTTTGGACTTCTGATACTTGATAGTGTTGGGTATTTGAGGTCAGGTAAGAGCATTCCATTGGTCATTCCAAATTTATGCTCCACAGTCCTGTGTTTTCTTACACCAGACTTTCTTAACCTTTTTACCACAAAGGAACCCTTAACCATTAGCCGCCCGGCCAATGGCCGTTTGGAGGCTTGAAAAGCGCTGCAGCTTTCCGGGTGCACGCCATTTGGCGTGCTCCCGCACATGCGCGGTTTGCGCGGTTGCAGAGCGACGCAGCAGTGCGATCTGTCACCGCCTGTGCACCTCGGACACGGCCGATGACAGATCCGAGTACCGGCTCCCGTTGCCGGTACCATGTGACCTGCTGTGACCAATCACAGCAGGTCACATGACAGTTGTATACAATGGATGGCTTCATTCATGATGCCATCCATTGTATACTAGTGCCTAGCTGTGAATGGTCACAGCTAATCACAAGCACATGTCATGTGATTAGCTGTGACCAAATCACAGCTAAGCACAAAAAAAAAAAAAAAAAAAAGCTGAATGAATCGATTTCATTCAGGTAAATGCTTGCTTATTATTATTATTATTATTACTACGAGTTTATATAGCGCCAAAGGGTTTGCTCAGCGCTGTACAATAGGGGGGGACAATACATGGCACAGTACAACAAAGACAGACAGCGTACGAGGGGTAAGAGGGCCCTACTCTTACGAGCTTACAATCTAGGAGGGAGGGGGTAAAGGTACAGTAGGAAGTGGCTGGGGGGGATGAAGTGGTAGGAGGAATGAGGGAGGATGGCCGTTAGGTGAGGGTGGGGTAGGCTTCCCTGAAGAGATGGGTTTTGAGGGAGCGCCTGAATGTGAATAGAGAAGGCGACAGTCTGATGGATTGGGGCAGTGAGTTCCAGAGGATGGGGGAGGACCTGGAGAAGTCCTGCAGTCGTGCATGGGAGGAGGAGACCAGGGAGCAGGATAGAAGGAGGTCCTGTGAGGAGCGAAGGGTACGGGTAGGGTGGTACCTGGTGATCAGATTGGTGAGGTAGTCAGGGGCAGTGTTGTGAACGGCTTTGTAGGTCAGGGTAAGGAGTTTAAATTTGATGCGTTGGGCAATCGGGAGCCAGTGGAGGGAGAGGCAGAGGGGGTGGCAGAGGTGGAGCGGGTGGTAAGGTGGATGAGTCTGGCAGCTGAGTTCAGGATGGTCTGGAGCGGGGAGAGCCTGCACTTGGGTAGGCCAGTGAGGAGGGAGTTGCAGTAGTCAAGGCGTGAGATGATGAGGGAGTGTACTAGAAGTTTGGTGGTGTCTGGGGTGAGGAAGGAGCGGATCTTGGCAATGTTGCGAAGATGGAGCCTGCATGTGTTTGTGAGTGATTTGACATGCGGTTGGAGGGAGAGGTTCGCGTCAAGAATGACGCCAAGGACTTTGGCTTGCGGGGCGGAAGTGATAGTGGAGTTGTTGGTGATGATGGATAGGATGGGGGGGGGGTGTGGGCAGGGGGAAAGACGAGAAGCTCGGTTTTGGAGAGGTTAATCTTGAGGAAATGTAGCGACATCCAGTCTGAGATGATGTCATTTAGGAGGTGAGTGATGCGGGCGGAGATAGTGGGGGTGAGGTGAGGGGTGGAGAGGTAGATTTGGGTGTCGTCAGCATAGAGGTGATAGTTGAAGCCGTGAGATTGTATGAGTTTGCCCAGGGAGGAGGTGTAGATGGAGAAGAGAAGGGGTCCAAGGACAGAGCCTTGGGGGACCCCAACAGAGAGGGGGAGGGAGGGGGAGGTGGCACCATTGTAGGTGACACTGAAGGAGCGTCGGGATAGGTAGGATGAGAACCAAGAGAGAGCAGCATCTCCGATGCCAAGGGAGAGTAGTAGTTTATTAAGAAGGAGGGGGTGGTCAACTGTGTCGAAGTAATTCTTTGCTATAAGCAAATTGTGTAAAAAAAAAAAAAAAAAAAAAAATACTGATCACTTCCCCAAAGTAGTACAGTGTTACTATGGTAACATTGTACTATTTTGGTCATAGTAAAATATGAAAAAAAATCTTTAAAAAAATGTAATAAAAAATTAAATAATAAAAAAATAAAAAAAAATATATATATATATTTTTTTTTTCATACTGTCACCAGTCAGTGTCGCTGTTCACCACCATGCCAGTTATATGATGACGCTGTACTGCACTGGTGACAGTATGTAAAAAAAAAAAAAATTGAAAATAATTTTTTTAATTTTTTCATTTTCCGAAAAATTATGACAAAAAAATACAACTTCAAAAAACTCGCCATGCCTCTTATGAAGTACGTCGGACTGTCTACTCTGCAAAAAGGGGTCATTTGGGGGATATCTGTACTGTTCTGACATTCTTGGACCTCAAGATATTAGATTGGCTGTCAGTACTTCAGGATTGATCAATATTCAGGTCTATACCATAGTTTGTGAACTCTATAACTTTCCTACAAACTAAAAAATACATCCTAATTTGGGTTATTTTCACCAAAGACATGTAGCAGAATACATCTCGGCCTAAATTTATGAAGAACAATTATTTATTTGTAAACTTTTATAACAGAAACAAAGAAAAATGTGTTTTTTTTTTTAAATTTTTGGTCTTTTTTTGTTAATTTAGCAAAAAATAAAAACCCCAGCGGTGACTAAATACCACCAAAAGAAAGCTCTAGTTGTGTGAAGAAAATGGTCAAATTTTAGTTTGGGTACAATGTTGTATGACCGCGCAATTGTCATTCAAAGTGTGAGAGCGCTGAAACCTGAAAACTGGCCTGGGCAGGAAGGTGTAAAATTGCACGGTATTGAAACGGTTAAGGGCTCATGTACACTGCAGCTGATAAACTCACGTTCAGGAGCTGTTCAGCATTTTTTTCAGCAGCCCCTGAACTCTCCCTAATGTTTTCCATGTGTCCATGTACACATCTTCGTTTACAGTCGTTTACAGCCATTTGAGTTTACAGTCATTTTTTTTAATGCAAAAATTTGCGTTCAGCAGTTGAATTTATCAGCGTTTCAAATGCAAAAAGCTTCTAAATGCGGCTAAATGTGGCAAATCGCACTTATATAAGCATTTGCGTTTGAATTTTTTTTTTTAACTCTTCCAGTTCCCGTTGCTGTCCAGAGCCTTTTTCATCATGAAAATACATGCAAAGCATTTTCAAGGTACTCAGATGGACAAAACACTGAACACAGGATGTTCCTACCAAGCTTGGCACACATTGTAATGACCAATTCACACCTCAGACCTCTCCCACCCTTGGAAACATATGTTAATTGCCATTCACACCTCAAATTCCTCATGAAGACCCCCTGCCAGGTGGCATTAATGACTCCCTGCACCAGACACCTTTCCCACCCTTGGAAACAAAAGAAATGTTAATGAGAAACTCACACCTAAGCTAATCTCAACACATACTGCTGTTTCTGCTTCTACTCTCTGTATTTCTCTGAAACAGTCTGAAATAATTAATAAATTACCACTTTTCAGTGCATTCTGGGCATTTGGGAGGTTCTCCTGTTCTCTTCTAAATGCAAACACACATAAATGTGCATAAACACGTTGTGCAAACGCAGCTAAATAGTTGTTTTTTAACCTACGTTTTCCAGCAGTCAGTTTCCATCGTTCAGAAGTGTCCCGTGTACATGGGGCCTTAAACAGATTTCAAGTCTCATGAAATACCCTGCAAAAACCAATTAATTTGTAGTCAGTGGGAAGAATGCCACCCTTACAGACAGCTAAAAGGATAATTGGTGTCATACTGCCGTCTCTCCCAAGTAGCGTATATATCCTTAGGCCCCATGTACACGGGTACTTCTGAACGATGGAAACTGACTGCTGGAAAACGTAGGTTAAAAAAACGTCTGTTTAGTTGCATTTGCATACCGCGTTTATGAGTGTTTTATGTGCATTTCTGAGCGTTTGGGTTTAGAAGCGTTTTTTAAAGATAACCTCAGGAGACCTTCCAAAATGCCCAGAATACACTGAAAAACAGTAAAAAAATAACTATTTCAGACATTTTGAGAGAAAGAGCAGAAGCAGAGAGAGCAGTATTTGTTGAGATTAGCTGTCTTTTTTTTTTTGTGGTGTTTGGATGTGTTCCGGTTCATTTCCGTGCAGAAATTATTGCAGCAATGTCTAACATATTTTCTTTCATGCGAAACCTCATAGTATGGTGTACCAGGTCCATTTCAGTACCAGGAAAACGCTTGGCATGCATTTTTCATGATGAAAAAAGGCTCTGGACAGCATCTGGAAAAGGAAGAGATAAAAAAAAATTCCAAATGCAAACGCTTATAAACACAGTTAGCTGTGTTTAGCCACATTTACACGCATTTACAAGCATTTGGCGTTTGAAATTCTGATAAAATCTACTCCTGAACGCAAGTTTGTTGCGTTCAAAAAAACGACTGTAAACTCAACTGCCTGTAAACAACGATGTGCACATGGACACATAGGAAAACATTAGGGAGAGTTCAGGGGCTGTTGAAAAAAATGCAGAAAAGCTCCTAAACGTCAGTTTATCAGCTGCAGTGTACATGGAGCATTAAACTATGAAAGCACTAGATGGGAGGTCAGCCAGCCAAAACCGAAGGAACCCATAGTGACCACTGGACCCTGGTTGACATTGGCTTATTTACACTGATGAAGCACTAGTGGCCTTCAAGCCAGAAACAGATCTATATAAGTTACATGTAATTGTATGTCATATATGCAGACTCGTGCAGACTCCACCTCCGCAACATCGCCAAAATCCGCACGTTCCTAACCCCAGAAACCACTAAACAGCTCATCCACTCCCTCATCATATCACGACTCGATTACTGCAACTCCCTCCTCACTGGCCTGCCTCGCCGCTGGCTATCCCCGCTTCAGTCCATCCTGAATACGGCTGCCAGACTCATTCACCTTTCCAACCGCTCCGTTTACGCCACCCCCCTCTGCCAATCCCTCCACTGGCTTCCGATTGCCCAACGGATCAAATTCAAAATCCTAACACTGACGTACAAAGCCATCCACCATACTGCCCCGAACTACATCACTGACCTAATATCCAAGTACCGCCCAACACGCACACTCCGCTCCTCACAAGACCTCCTTCTCTCTAGTTCCCTGGTCTCCTCCTCCCATGCCCGCCTCCAGGACTTCTCCAGGGTGTCACCCATCCTCTGGAACTCCCTGCCCCAACCCATCAGATTATCACCTACTCTCCTTTCCTTTAGGCACACCCTGAAAACCCATCTCTTCAGGGAAGCCTACCCCACCCCCTGCTAACCTGCAGACCTCCTCCACTCTTCCTACCACTCCATCCCCCACAGCTATCTCCTCCTGTGCCACCATCCCCTCCCTCCTAGATTGTAAGCTCGAAGGAGCAGGGCCCTCAATCCCCTCATGTTTTGCATTGTATTGGTATTGTTCTGTCACATGTTCTGTCCCCCTTTGTAATGTACAGCGCTGAGCGAACCATTGGCGCTTTATAAATACTGTATTATAATAATAATAATAATATATGTGCTATAAACTGGCAGATAAAGCTTTCCATTTTGGAGCAAAAGAATATCTTGGACCCGATCACTAACGCCATAGAGGGAATAAAAACTTTGTTGCGAGTTTTATTTTGAAAGCGATGGGATGCAATAGCTTCTGTATTAGGTTGGCAATTCTGTTATTCTCAGTGCTTTAAATGGAAGGATGTTTGAGTTCTTTTTGGCCCATCTCATCATATATGGACTGTATATCGTGCCAAATGATACTTCTTCATGTTTTTGTACCAAACTTCATTCCCGCGATGGGACAACTGCATGGAGTCAGTACATATGACATAGTTACATAGTTAGTCTGGCTGAAAAAAGACAAAAGTCCATCCAGTTCAACCACAGAATAAAAAAAAGTTATAATCCTATACCCACAGATGATCACAGAGGAAGGCAAAAAAAAAGACATTTTTACAGCTGTAACATCTTTGAGAACATCGTAACAGCAAAACGAACCCCTTTCCCTGAGGAGCTTACACTCCAACACACTCTAATACAAATGTAGGTGGAAGCCATTTAATAAGGGGAACATAGGAATTTGTATCTTTTCTTTTTAATTTATAATGGTTAAAACTAGTAAATAAAATGTAAAAAAAAATGAAGGTAAACTTGAAATATTGCATATTTGTGTTTACATTTCCAGGTAGCAAGTGGAGCTTTAGGCAACTTTTCCATTTTTAGACGTTTTGCTAAAAAAGGCTTCTAGCCTTCAACAACACTTAACAACTTACACGAAACCTACTGTCTCTTCCCGCCTGCTTTGCTGAGGTGGGGCTACACAAAATTTCAATCAGAGAGAGAAGATATAAATGCAATCCACGACAGCTTTGCTATTTCTTTCAAAAACTCATAATTTATAAAAAAAATAGTTAGAACATGTAAAAACATTAGTTTAAAACCATATAAAATTTAATATTAAGATTGTAAATTTTAAAATAAAATTTGTCCCCAAACCAATTTAGTTTTTGTTAACTTTCAGTATCTTTTTTATTTGGGAAAAAATCAGAGCATCCCAAGGAAACCTAAATACACACTCCGTATACATATTGTCCAGAAAATACCCGTCAGCCTACAATCTATAAAGGGCAATACTATATTTGCACATAATTATTTTGGCATTAATTTCAAGGATTAATGCATTATTATTTATCTATTTAATTCCTTTTTTTCTAAATAATTCTTTTAAATACAAAAAAAAAATATTTATTTAACTTTTATTACTTTTCAAAGTGAGCATTGGAACTAATTTATTAAAGTTCATTTGTATTTAAAAATGGCATTGTTCATTAATCATGTTTGCACATAATAATTGTTGTAATGGCATGGGTTCAGTGTGTTATTGCTTGTATAATTAATTATTTTTTACAAAATAATTATCTATTTATTTAACTGTTATTAGTTTTCTAAGTGAGAATTTGAAATATTATCTTGAAATTAAATTTGTATTACAGTTAAACTGCTTAATATTCCCAATAACAATCTAAGACAACAAGACTCATCAGTAGTTGCCAAATAGGGAATCCTCAAAACTGACTTGAAACAATAATGATGTGTTAGGTTACAGTTTTATCCACCGGAGCAATTATTATACTTGTACTATTAGCTCAGTCATGCTGACGAAGGTAAATAAGAACACTCAAAGATTAGTCTTACACAGCATTTTCTCTGCATCTGAAAAATTTGGATTCTAATTAGTAATAAGACTTGTATAAATGAACAATCCCACTGGGGGTGTCAAGGGAGTCAAAGCAAAAAAGAACATTTAGCAATGCTAATTAATGTTGTAATTATCTAGACAGCTTTCATTTCTGACATTTCTGATACATGAAGAAAAAATTAAATATTGCTTGAAATAAACTATATGAAATGTTCACATTTAGCAAAAGTATTAAATTGCAATAAACCAAAATAAAAAGTATTATTATTAATAATAATAATAATGATAATAATAATAATACTTTTAGCATTATGTTGGTAAAGAAATTGTTTTTTTTTTTTACTTTTTTTTGTTTATTTTATTATTGTTTTATATTTTATTCTTTGATTTTACTGCATTATCACTGATCTCTCACTAATATAAAACCAAAAACCATACACTAATTTCACACAATAATAAAAAACCCCAAAACATTGTAAAACAAACAAAAAAAGGCAACAAGAAAAAAATGTGCAAACATAGTAACTAGAGATGAGCGAATTATTCAAAAATTTGATTCGGCTGATTCGCCGAATTTGCGGGAGAAATTTGATTCGATGCGAATATATTCGCTGCAAATTTAACTTATTAAAAGGGTTTCTAGGCTTCAGAGAGCCTTTATATTAGTGCAGAACACTGTACCTTTAATTTAAATGCCCTTGGAGTCTGCTGGGGAAGAGAAATAATACTGTCAGTCAGTATGACATGCAGATGAGTGCCGTCGATCTTAGAATCACCGCACACTTCACTCATTTGGGCAGTACGGGGCACGATGAAAGAAGAAGAAGAAGAAAAGAAGAAGAAGAAGAAGAATGAAGAAGAATGAAAGAAAGAATGAAGAAGAAGAATGAAAAAGAAATGAAGAAGAAGAAGAAAAGAAGAAGAAGAAGAAGAGAAGAAGAATGAAAAGAAGAATGAAAAGAAGAATGAGAAGAAATGAAAAAGAAGAATGAAAAGAAGAAGAAGAAGAAAAGAAGAATGAAAAGAAGAAGAAGAAGAAAAAAAAGAAGAATGAAAAGAAGAAGAAGAAGAATGAAAAGAAGAAGAAGAAGAATGAAAAAGAAGAATGAAGAAGAAGAATGAAAAGAAGAAAAGAAGAATGAAGAAGAAGAATGAAGAAGAATGAAAAGAAGAATGAAGAAAGAGAAAAAAGAAGAATGAAAAATGAAGAATGAAGAAGAAAAGAAGAATGAAAAGAAGAATGAAAAGAAGAATGAAAAGAATGAAAAGAGAAGAAGAAGAATGAAAAGAATGAAGAAGAAGAAGAAGAATGAAAAGAAGAAGAAAAAGAAGAAAAGAATGAAAAGAAGAAGAAAAGAAGAATGAAGAAGAAAAGAAGAAGAAAAGAATGAAAAGAAGAAGAAAGAAGAATGAAAAGAAGAATGAAAAGAAGAAGAAAAGAAAAAGAAGAATGAAAGAAGAATGAAAAGAGAAGAATGAAAAGAAGAATGAAAAGAAATGAAGAATGAAAAGAAGAATGAAAAGAAGAATGAAAAAGAAGAAGAAGAAGAAAATGAAAAGAGAAGAAGAAGAATGAAGAAGAATGAAAAGAAGAATGAAAAGAAGAATGAAAAGAAGAAGAAGAATGAAGAAGAAGAAGAAAAGAAGAATGAAAAGAAGAAGAAGAAGAATGAAAAGAAGAAAAGAAAGAAGAAGAAAATGAAAAAAGAAGAAGAAAGAATGAATGAAAAGAAGAATGAAAAGAAGAATGAAAAGAAGAAGAATGAAAAGAAGAAGAAAAGAAGAATGAAGAAAAAGAAGAATGAAAAGAAAAAGAAAAGAAGAATGAAAAGAAGAAAAGAATGAAAAGAAGAATGAAAAGAAGAATGAGAATGAAAAGAAGAATGAAAAGAAGAAGAAGAATGAAAAGAAATGAAAAAGAAGAATGAAAAGAGAAAAGAATGAATGAGAATGAAAAGAAGAATGAAGAAGAAGAAGAAGAATGAAGAATGAAAAGAAGAAGAAGAAGAATGAAAAGAAGAAGAAAAGAATGAAGAAGAAGAAGAAGAAGAGAAGAATGAAAAGAAGAAGAATTCCAGTACAGCAAAAAGTGTATCTGCAGAGAGCTCCGCTATTTCTGACAGTTCTCTGACAGTTCCTTCACATTTACAGCGGTTGAAACATTGTATCTATTTATTTCAGAATAAAAACATCTGTATCCTAAATGGAAACAAATAGATACAATGTTTCAACCGCTGTAAATGTGAAGGAACTGTCAGAGAACTGTCAGAAATAGCG